AATTCAATTCAATTCAATTTTATTTGTATAGCGCCCCAATTCATAACAGAAGTTATCTCAGGACACTTTTCAATATTAGAGCATGGTCTAGACCAAACTCCTTATAACATTATTTACAGAGACCCACTAGTACCACCAGAGCAAGCCACTTGCGCGATTGGGGAAAAGGAAAAACCTAGGACAGACCCTTCGGCTCTAGGTGGGGTGCGTCGTCTGCTCTCGACCAAGCTGGGGTAGGAGAGAGAGAGAGAGAGAGAGAGATGAGTGATGTAGATGTAGTCATGACAGAATTGGTCAAAAGGACAGAGAGAAGACAGAGCGGACAGATGGGCGATGGCACAGCAATATCATGACAGTTAAGCAACTAATCTACCACACTAATCAGTAGCTGACTGTTATGAATGGAATGAACACGAAGATGATGACACGGCGATGGGCGGACTACGAGCAACCGACCACAGCAACAACAGCGGACCGCTAGCAACAATAATAACAACAGCCCAGCCAACAGCAACAACAACAACAAACAACAACAACAATAATAATAAATATAATAATAAAAATAAATTAAAGCTGTGTTCAGGTTTCGGCACTCTTATCAGACAAGTGAAGTTTGCGAGCCCAATGGGCAATCTACACTCAAGTTATTAGCAAACTTCGTGTTTATGTATAGGCGTGAGTAAATCTATTGCGAAAAAATATTTTGAACGATCTCAACACTCACATACAACCACCTTCTGTTAGGATTCCGCCTCACCACACAGTCAACACATATCATCAACAATGTGTTTTGCATTTCATAACAGTTTGGGGGCGCAAACGTGAAAAATTTTTTTTCAACTTGCGATGCAGCCTGATTACATCCTTCACGGCAGAGCGAAGATAGGACCAAAATGTTACTTCTGTCACTTCAAGTTTAACGCTTGAAATCTCCGCTTTACCCCGGATGAGCCCACTCCAGCCGAGAATACCATACAAAACGATGCATCTTGTCGGTATTTGCTATTCCTCTAGCATGTTCAAAACAGTACGTCGCGCGGCGCACTGAATTCTTCTTGCTATCGTATGCCTGAATTCTGATGTGTACATTCTCCTGTCTATTCACGAACTGAGTCTCGATGGCGGTGTGTTGCCGACACATTGTGCCGGCGCTGACTGTAGCTCCTCTGATCAAAGAGGTGAGTCTTGTGTCTGGCGGTGGTATGATCTTGCGGGGAGAGCCACCAAGGACGGTTTCTAAGAAGAAGCATTCACAGGACATCAAAGGTAAAGCGGGGGCGGATGTCCTCCTTTTCACCGTTCAAAGATTAGCGAGACTGGTGATCCAAGCGGGGAGGAGTTCATTTGATACCAATCTCGCCCGTCCTCGTGTAATCTGCTGTGATCTCCTGCTGTTCCTGCACTTTGTCTTCTGTAAGCGTAGCAGTGACAAGTCTCACAGCTGATGCAACTCCGGTCTGAATCTCGTCTAATTAAACCCACCCTGTATATATGCATTACATTAATGCACTCCCGTTGGTTTTTCTATCCTGCACATTGTAAATATCTTTCCTGTACAGTTTAGATCTTTCTATCTTCTGTGATTTTAATGTAGCAATGCACCAAGGCAAATTCCTTGTACATGTAAAAACTTACTTGGCAATAAACCCAATTCTGATTTTCATAATACAGTGAGTTTAAACCAATAAACAACCATCCTGACAATGTGACATCACATCCATTTGACCACCTCCCATAGTGATGTCACAGTGATGTCATCAGTGTTTGAACTTACAGTGTGCCATTTTCCGTCATTGACAGCGACAGATGATGTAATGGAGGCGGGGCCTTTCCCCAGGTCAGCTGACATCATTAGTCTCCCCCCCGTTAGTCTGAGGACAATGAAGTCCATCTGTTTGGAGTCAGAGAGGAGGAGGATCAACCCATCCAGAGCCTGGCTTCGAACTGACAACCTCACCGATACACTGAGGATGAAGACAGACAGCAGAGGGTTAGAACAGAACTGGTTACAGCCCCGCCCCTATCTGAATACAGACCCACCCCTGTCTGAATACAACCCTGTCGTCGTGGAGACCCACCTCCTCCTGACAGTGCTGGGGTTGATGATGAAGGTCATGTGACTATGTTTGGACAAACCAAAGTGAGCCGCTGATGGCAGAAAGGTTGGCTCTGCCTCTGACACACACTGCAACAGACATATCAATAATCAATAACAATGAAAAGTAAATAATGACACTGACCAATAACCAACACTTATCAATAATCAATAATACTAACAAGGAATCAAAATCTAAATCAACTGTAACCAAAATATACAGACCAATATTCAAGAACCAATGATGATAATAATCAGTCATGATCAACAAACATATTGATTACCGTTAGTGCTCCTGGTGTCAGGGCACTCAGGTGTGTGGGCGGAGGTACAGGTAAGTAGGCAGGGTCATTAGTTGGTTCTACATCCTGGTCATCAGGAAGCACCGCCCCCCCATCTCTCTCCTCCAATAGGCAGCTGTCGAGCTCCACCCCCTCATACCTCACTGCTCCTGATAGGTCGACAATCCTGGAGGGAGCCGGCATTAAAAACAGTTAGCCAATCAGAGAGGCAGAACAGTGTGTGTGTGTGTGTGTGTGTGTGTGTGTGTGTGTGAGTGAGTGAGAGCAGGACTTACACTCCGCCCACCACCAGGTGTTGGATGCAGCCTCTGAACCACCTGGACACATCCCGTAATCTGATTGGTAGATGAGGCCCCCCCTCTGATGGCAGCCCACCAATGTAGAAAGAAACTGGAGACAAGCGAGAAAATACGCCCGGCGAAAGAGAGACGGATTTCCTGTGGTCCTCGTCCACCTGCATTGACAAAGACCTGAGAGACAGACTAATCAATACTAATCAGTCAGGTGACACAGGGGAAACAGGTGTCTGTTACCATGGTAACACCTACTTCCTGTTGATGGTGATAATCACAGAGTGTTTTATTCCGTCACTGAAGGATCCTCCAACAGGTTTCACCACCATCACCCTCCGAGTAGCTCCACCCACCTCACCAAGCTCTGCCTCCAAATCACCCGAGAGCAGGTGGACAGACAGGAAGTTCTGCACACAGACAGTGATAGAGGTTGCATAACGGTGACAGTAAGAGCTGGAGCCCAGGTGTGTGTGTCTGTCTGTCTTACCTGTCTGTGTGTTGGGTCGTCACTGAAGGCGGCCAGAACAACTCCTGATTGGTTGTTGGTGGAGAAGGACAAGAGAAGCTCCACCTCCTGACCAAGTGAGCGAGGAGCGATCTGAACGAAGCCTCCTGCTAACACCGACACGCTTCTCACCGCCTGACAGGTAAGATGATGAAGTGATCAATGAAGGTTATTAATGAAGGTTATTGATGAATGACTCACTCCGAGGTGATCAATAATGGTTACTGATTATTGGCTGTGTGTGTGTGTGTGTATGCAGTACCTTGAGGACACAACCCTTCCGGACACCGAAGGCGTCTCTCAGTAGGTCAAAGTTGGACCGAGCAATTTCCACGTTCTTTATACAGCCCACGTACGACCTGGACACCACCTGTCTCCTAGAAACCACACAGACAAGTACAAACAGTCAGACAGGTAAGAACATTTACACATGTGTACACATCAACTGTGACTCACAAACTCACCTGATTGGTCTGGAGGCAGGAAGTCCTCCAATATAAATGGGGTCTAGGTCGGAGCGGTTCAAGTCAGAGGCCGTTCCAGGAGACTCCGCCTCTAACACTTCCTTCTCTGTTGATTGGTCGGCCGCCATGATGGACAGGTAACCTGGAAACACAGCAGCATTAAGCAGTAGTAGTAGTAGTAGTA